TAGCTGCGTCGCTCGGGATAACTCTTTTACGTAGCCTTTAGTTAGGTCGACCGCGTTACTATTTAACGCGTGCGCGCCTACGGCCCGTACGTTAGTCCGAGCGCCTACGCGCTACCTATTTATGTTTCTCTTCCTCCGTATCTTCCCTACTTTTCTATCTACTACTACTACTACTACTTTAACTACTACTACTACTACTTCTACCGTCCGTCGTTATTTTCTAGCTAGCAAAGCAGTCTACAATCGAATTAGTACTACCTAGGCGACACCTAAGGACGTTTCTAAGTTAAATATAGCGGACGACCCCGAAGTGCTAGCTCTAGGCCCTCTACGTCTGTCTAGGCGTCTACCCTCTCCGGTTATTAGTCCTCTTATACCTAGCGACGTATATAAATTCGCGCGCGACGAAAAGGCCTTTCTTAGCGAGGCTAAGTCGACCCGAGTAGATAATACTTATAACTACTAGCGAACTATACGCGTAATAGACGACCTAACGAATGTCCTTTATAAGTAGTATAAGACGCACGACGTATATAAGATTGACGATTAGGATCCGGTACTATAGCGAGCCTTCCTACGAGATATTAGTAACGGTATCGATATAACTTTTTCGACTTCGGATACTATTAATCCCGCTAATATAAAATATCTCCCGAGTGAGCGTAAGAGTACTATCTAGGCTAATACTAACTAGCTATAGCTTGCGCCCTAGCCCGATGCCCCGTTCCCTATTACCGACGCCTAGCGTATATTATACGCTAGCATACTCGATACCCTATAGCACTATCGCTCTAGGTATACGGCTACGCCTCTATTATTTAACGAAGCCTATACGGCAATAAACATCGACGTTACCGCACTCCTAGACGGCGAGATCGATAAAGTTAGTAAATACCTATACCGTATTACGTTTCGCGGACTCCGTCTTACGATATAGCAACTATAGGCTATTATATAGATCGTCGAAATGTAGAAATTACCTATATAGGGCGCTATTCTCGCCGACGATGCCGGTACTAGTAAGACTATCTCTATCCTCTACGCCGCCGTAGCTTAGTCCGAGTACATCGAAGAATAGCGTATCGTATATCAAAGTAAGAAATGTTAATCCTAACGTATAGATTATTTTGCCGGCCGGCAAATATACGTCTAGATATCTATTTGCCGGCCGGCAAAACGGTCTATATATATACTTATCTCCTACTAACTATCGTCGTAGCTGTACTCGACTACGCCTATATAGAGCGAGGTATCGTACTAGACTCTATCTTCGGCTATTGCGTCCCGTTCTATAATATACCGACTATTCCCGACGACGACCCGCGCGACCTACTTATAATAGTAGTCGACACTTTCCTCGACTAGCGATTCGGCGTTAGTAGCCGCTAGACGCTCTAGTGTAGAACACTCGATTGCCTAGAGTGCGAAGCCGACGGTGTTTGCCTAGGCCCTCTTAAAGAGGATATTAACGCGTAGAAGTCGACTGTCGCCGAATTGCGTACCGAGCTAGATAAGACTTATACGACGCCTTACCGCTACGCTCCTATCTACTAAATCGGGACTGCCGCGACGATTAACACCTAGCGCGATGCCTATAACCGGTACTTTAGTCCTAATCCTAACTATACTCGCTATATCTACGTCGCTGCTCTCGTCGCGCTTAACGGCGAGTCTCGCTATCCCGTCTATATTATCCGGCGTTACCTAAATATACCCGACGGCCTAGGACTTGTCGAATATATCGCATCCCTTTCGGACCGCGATCTACAGACTACTCGTACGCTTATTATCTCTACTCGCGAGGCCTTTATTTAGGAGACACTTATACCCGGCCCGGCGTACCGCAAGCGATATAACCGCCTAGCTTAGTTTTAGGATCGGCTGCGGCTATGTTAGTAGAAGGACGAATTGTAACTACGGAATCTCGAGGTAGTCGATTATCGAATAGAGCGTAGAGACCGTACTAATAACACTATTAGAGAACTCTAGATTGCCCGCAATACTTAATTGTACGATAAGTATCGATCCGATAATACGTTTCGTCTCGCTAACTTACGCGCCGCGTGTCCGTCTATCGTTATATATAACGAGGCATACTACTTCCGGGCGCAGTTCTTACTCTAAACGGACGCTATATAGAATCTCTTTAATAACGCGTATACGGTAGCCGTATTTACTATAGCGACTCTATTAGCTACCGATCTTAACGACTTCGCTATACTTACTCGGTTTCTATTCCGTCGTATCCTTAAACTATAGGACGCCCGAGATCGGACCGACCTTATCTTTAGATTTTCGGACGTTACCGATGCCGTTATATACTATAGCCGTTTCTAACGCGACTACGGCCTCCGATAGAGCGCTATTCCCGAAGACCTGCGAATCTATCGTATAGCTCTACTATCTCGCCGCGTCTATACTAGCGCTATATACTTTCGCGATATCGTCCTCTAAATACTTAACCCTAAAGCCCTACGTAGGCCCCTCGACGACGATAACTAGATATATCTAACGACATTCGCCTTTAGCCTCTACGTCCTCCGACGCTCTAAGGGAAACTAACTTAAGATCCGCGACTATACTATAACCTTAGGGGACGACATTCCTCTATAGTAAGTCGTTAACGTTAAGGTGCAATATACTCCTATTTCCTAAGTAGAATACCGCGCCGCTTACTATCGCTTCGCTAAGCGTATCGATAAGCTAGACCGCGGTATTAAGCGCCCCTCTACTACGCTAACTTACGAGGCACTATTTCGCTAGCTTAGTCTCCGTACCGCCTATCCTCTCCTCGCCGCTATCGCCGACCGAAGGCTAACCTCCTCTACGCTAACTCTTTAATCCCTATAAGTCTATTACGCTGTAGACTATTTTGCCGGCTAGCGAAAACTAGTAGACGTATACGACTATTTCGCTAGCCGGTAAAGTAGTCTATAGTCTAACCGTCCGCCGCTACTTTCTCGCTAATATAACTCTAGCGCCTTATATTAGATAACAACCTAGGACTTCTTCTAGTTCTATATAAAGGGCTCTACGCCCCTTCCCGCCCTAAGCCGTCGCGTAGATCGACTCGTCTATCTAGTCCGCCTATCTCCGAAGTACCTAGCGATACTATAGCTCGTCTACGTATATATTATCTAGCTTTCGTCTAAGTTAGTGTTCTAGGTCGAAGAGCTACTTAATTACTAACTCCTCGACCTCGTATTAGAGTTATATTAGATCCGACACTCTACTATCTATACCGGTATAACGTACGCTAAGCGCGCTACCGCCGAGGATGCCTTTAATAATAATCCCCGAACCTAGGCTATTATCCTATCCTCGCGTACTAATACGGAGTCTATTAATCTGTATTACGGTATATACGTATAGTATATCGTAGATGTCGTCGACTTTAGTAAGAAGAACTCGATCGTTAATCGTTATACTCGCGTAGGATAGACTTACGCCGTTATAGTATTCGAATTAAGCCTCGTCGACACTATCGACTCGCGCTACTAGTAGACCTTCTATCTCGACATTTAGGAGCGGCTTACTATAGTAGTCTTACCGCCCGACCGGCTTATAGATAAAGAGATCTACTATATCTAGTTAGACGAGATCGTACGAGCCCGTAGTGCTACCGGTGCGCCCCCTATAACCCGATTCCGTAAACACGCTAATACTAATATTAGATAGCGTATAGCCGACGCCTATATACGCAAGTCCTACGGCATTCGCTACTAGATGTTAGATGCTACGTAGGGCTGTATCTCCGACCTAACCTATAAGAATCTCGTCCCGGTCGAAGCTATCTTTCGCCTATTACTCGGCGGTACGATAGCGGGAGAAGTCGCTACTATCGTCGACCGCTAGTAGCCCGCGCTAGATAACTTCTTTTAGGCCGATAAGCGTAACCTAGACCGTACGGGAGGATGCGACTACGAGCATCTTAAGTACGCTACGGCGTAATATCTATACTACGACGACGTTACTAAGGATATCCGTCCGATTCGACTTATATAGTACCTTTACTATTTCGCTATCGAGGCCCTCGCTATAGGTCAATACGACTCTACTATTATTCCTAATTAGTATAGTAAGTCGCACTATACGTTGTTATCTATTTCGCCGTCTAGTATAGTAGTTATTACCTCCGTTACCGGTCGAATTACTAATACCCTTTATAGTATATCTTAAGTACGTTTAGCGGCGTACTCCTAACTGCGACGCCGATTTTGCCCGGGCCGTGCAAAACATCGGCTACTACGCTCCTACTCTCGCGCCCCTCGTCCGAAGATTTCGGAGTTTTACCGGTCCCTTCGATAATTATAATAATAATAGTAACTATAGAGTTACTACTCCCTCCCTTAGAACGCCGTCTAACTACGAACCTAACCGTATAGGTATATAGCTATACTTACTAGGCAGTTAGGCCGGCTCTCCTATTCGCCCTAACTTTAGCGACTCCGTCGGAGATGCTAGCGCTATAGACGAGCTAACCCTACGCGCTCGTTACTCAACTAAGCGATCTCTTACTCTACTAGTCGCTCCGTATCCTCGCCTAGCCGACGATATATTAGCTTATGCTAAGCGCGTTAAGCTAGCGGCCGGCGCCTCGTCTATAGTGCTAGTCGAGAGTAGCGACGCCGAGGATGCTAAGTAAGGCGTAGGTGCACTCGTACGGGCCCTATATATAGAGAGTAGATAGTAATATAGATCTCCTCGAGTAGGCCTCTACGGGACGACTAGTAAGCACGCGTATCCTAGGCGTTAGGTCCTATAGGTTACCGACTAGGCGCGCGTATAGATAGTCTAGTCTATATACTAAATTCTACTAGTAAAAATCGGGCTTAGGGCTAGTATAAAAAGTGACTAAATTTAAGTAATTAGTATAGTTCTAGAAGGGTTATAGGTCCTAAACGACGGCTAGAATAGTCTAGTATTTAATAGGGCCTCGCTACGTCGCCGTCGCTATTATTTGTTTTAGGCTTTCTCGGGCTAGGGCTGCCAAGCGTTACACTAGGGTTGCCAAGCGTTACACTAGGGCTGCCAAGCGTTACACTAGGGCTGCCAAGCGTTACACTTGCCTAGAAGTATTTTTAATAAATTAATAAAAATACTAGGGCGGTTTCTACGTATTATACTCGATATAATAGGCCTAGAACTACGACTTAGAAGTAGTATACTAGTAGTAATAGGGGTTAGGGGGGTCCTACTACTATATAGGGTAGCCAAGCGTTACACTAGGGCTGCCAAGCGTTACACTTGCCTAGAAGTATTTTTAATAAATTAATAAAAATACTAGGACGGTTTCTACGTATTATACTCGATATATTAGGCCTAGAACTACGACTTAGAAGTATTATACTAGTAATAATAAGGGTTAAAAGTATAGGGTCCTATAAAAGGTAGGTAGAAATTCAAAGGAATTTAAATCAAATCTCTAAGTAAGTAAATAAATTATATTAAATAGTATCGAACGTTCTAGCTATTAAATAAGTAGTATAGAATAGTTGTACTAATATTTTTAGTCCCAAGTACTAATGAAAATTAGCTAAGAATTCAAGGGAACTAGAATAAAATATCTAAGTAAGTAAATTAATCGTAGTAAATTTCTACTAACCATCTACGATATTTTAACGGCTAAATAGCTAGTATAGGGTTAGGGTTCGATTTAATTAGGGTAATATAGTATAGTATTAGGGCTATTCTACTAGTAAAAATCGGGCTTAGGGCTAGTATAAAAAGTGACTAAATTTAAGTAATTAGTATAGTTCTAGAAGGGTTATAGGTCCTAAACGACGGCTAGAATAGTCTAGTATTTAATAGGGCCTCGCTACGTCGCCGTCGCTATTATTTGTTTTAGGCTTTCTCGGGCTAGGGCTGCTAAGCGTTACACTAGGGTTGCCAAGCGTTACACTAGGGCTGCCAAGCGTTACACTAGGGCTGCTAAGCGTTACACTTGCCTAGAAGTATTTTTAATAAATTAATAAAAATACTAGGGCGGTTTCTACGTATTATACTCGATATAATAGGCCTAGAACTACGACTTAGAAGTAGTATACTAGTAGTAATAGGGGTTATAAGGGTCCTACTACTATATAGGGTAGCTAAGCGTTACACTCGGGCTGCTAAGCGTTACACTTGCCTAGAAGTATTTTTAATAAATTAATAAAAATACTAGGACGACTTCTACGTATTATACTCGATATATTAGGCCTAGAACTACGACTTAGAAGTATTCTACTAGTAATAATGAGGGTTCTAAGTGTAGGGTCTTATAAAAATTAGGTGAAATCAAAGGA